GACAACACAATACACACTGTTTCCAACAGGAGCTTCCAACCTCGCTGTTAACCCAGTTGTGCCTGGGTTTTCACTTATTGCTCAGTGAAATGGTCAAACCAGCGGGGGGGAGAATTCCGTTTCGCTCTGGTAAACATTTTTTTGAACTGCACTTACCTTCACCAAGGAGGTTATGTTTTCACCCCTGCCAATTTGTTTTGTTGGTTAGATTAGGCAAAAACTACTGAAAGGATTTCCATGAAATTTGGTGGAAGGATGGGACATGAGCCAATGAGGAACCCATTCAATTTAGGTGGAGATCGACACAACTGGGTGGATTCAGGCCTAATTTTCTTAAACATTGCATTTTTTTTTTTTATTTCCCGAGGAATAATTTGTTTGCAGATCCAAATTAAAGTCTGGATCTATAGTTTCATAAGGGGAATGTCCATTCTAGTTACTTAGATTCTTAGTTAATCTACAAATGATCTGTAGTTTCAAAGTCATAGGTAAAAGATATAAACTATTACTGTAGAGTTAGTTCTCTGCTCTGTGTCACAGAGGTCTAAAGGTTCACCGCTGGTTTTACTGATGAGACCTCTTCAGCCACAGAGGAGGAGTTAAGAAGTGACATTATCAGCTATTTTATTTGTGAACAATCTCTTGGATCACTCATATACACACATACATGCACAAACAGCTGCACAGATGTGTCACTGCCTTGCTGATGTGAAACAAATAAAATGTTATGCCGCTACACAAAACCACAGAGACCGACTGCAGTTTGAAGAAAAGAGCCTTGTGTTTCAGGTGCACTTGTAGCTTTGTGAAAAAGACAGCTGCCCACTAAAGTTACTGCTGTGCGCGACACTAAAAGCTGCAATGAGCGCTGCGTTGGGAGCAGTGTTCCAGGTCCCAGACAGTTTAAGAGGCAATGAAACACTTGACTAGTGCACATCTCCTTTTCCCACAGAGGCCCAGTGAGCAGCTCCCTCTAGACCCTCCACAGCATCAAGGAGCATTAATTGTAAGGAGGTGTCATTAAAAACAGGGGTGCTCAAGATGGTGGAAGAGGGGAGAGAGATAGAGGGATAGACATATAGAAAGAGACATATGTGAGAGAGAAGGAAAGGAGGAGATAAAAGCATAAAATTAAAAACGGGCATGACTTATGTGATACAGTTATACGTCTGGACATTGCATCCCCTATTTTGGTGGAAGCTATAAATTCACATATAGGTTATAGCATGTAAGCCTCTGTATATACAACATAACACAGCATGTGATCTGAGATATGGCCTTCTGGGTGTGACGATAATTTACACAAAGCTTAGGAATGTGTTTTCCAAAAATGGGTCCAAGATGAAAAGGGGAAAAAAAAGAAAAAGGCTGTTTCGGTAAATTCCTATAGATGAAAAACCAGTTTGATTCCACCGACACTTATGGCCAGTGTTTTGTAAACAACAGTGTGCAGACAGATGTGGCACGGCCTTTACAAAGTGCAAACACAGAAGGTGTAGCTGAAAACATAGGTCATGGTGAGGAATGTCAACAGTGAACATTTCAAAGCAGGGAATAATTGCTTCAAGTCGACTGTAATTGGTTTGTCTTTAATCTGCTGCCCGCATTTTTTTACACTTACCAATTACAACAAAGTTGTTACTTTTGTCACAGCTCTTCCTGTAAATACTGCAAGTGGAACGACAATCCAGGAAACTTGTTATTTGTTATTCCACCTCATTTCCCTGTTTCACTCAGGAAAATTATGACTATAGGCCTCTTTTTTCTTATAACCACAATTAAAAAAAGTTTGAGCTTTGTGCCAAAACCTTGTTGACCTTTTGCACAAGCTGCTGGTGTTATTTTGTGCCTTAAAACAAAAAAAGTAGAAAATCTACAATAAAAATGGCAAAAAAAAGATATTTTGGGTGCACAAAATATCAGAACCCCCCCAAATATTTTGCAGTGCGAGCACCTGAAGCATCTGCAATTTGGTCTATACCACTAACTTAAAGAGGCTTTCAAGGTCTTTACTAAAGTTTTGGTTTAAGAGTGGAGCCACAGATGGGCAAACTTATTCATCGTGACCAAATTTGTTTTATACCACCCCCCCCCTAAAAAAATATTCTAGCATAACCTGTTATTAGTTCCTAAAACGAAGAAATGCAAATGCTGACTTTAAAATGAAAAATGAATGTCACTACCAACCCTTCATTACCCACCTTACTTAAGGCTGAGTGTGAAGCTTACAGGAGTTCCAGATGGCAAAGGCACCTCTGGAACAGTGACCTCACACCCTGCCCCTCTGATGGGGTGATAAAGGCATACAAGCCTTCCCCTGGGCCCAAAAAGAAAAAGAAACTCAGGCCTCCAAAGAGCTAAGTCCAGGTCTGGAAGCCCTCCGAGCCAGGTGCGAGGGGCCCCGGAGAGGGGCCAGAGCCCAGCCAGGCAGACCCAGAAAATACCCACATCACTGAGGGAGCACTAACTGGCCACAGACACCTCCAGGGTCTTTGAGAAGACTGAGTGAAAAAATGAGGAGAAAGAAAAAAGTGACATGGTGTAGATTACTGGGAGAGCTGCAGGAACTGTACCAATGACGGCAATGTTCCAGGGAGCGAAGGCTGGGAACCTGTTCTTGTAAAATGCATTATGAGTGGCGTGCACGTGTGACTTGTGCCTTTTTCAACTACAAAAGACCCATAAGATTGAATTTTATTCATGAAAGACAGCAAGATTGTTTTGTCGAGGAGGGGGTGAGGTTAATGTACACCAGACAGATGGGTTCAAGGCTGCATTCCTTTTTTTCTTTTTTACTGGCCTCAACTTGAAAGACAGTACAGCAAAAAAACATACCATATTAGAAATGATCAGAGTTTGATACCAAAGCAGTTACTAAAGATGCTTTGCTCTCTTCTTCTCCTCTCTGTGTGCACGTGTGAAAATTTCAGGCAGCTAATTTACTTTCCTCCGGGGAATCCTTATGACATAGCTCCTCTTGGAAGTCATCAAGAGTAAAGCAGCCAGATCTATATACATTTCTGACCCTTGCATCTGCGTTCCAGCACATGCTCGACTTGTGTTCTCCAACACATGGCTCACGAGGGAGGGTGATCTACTACACCCCACATTTCCTCAGCTGGTCAGGAGAAATTAGTTCAAGGGTTGAAACAGGGTTGAAGCAGGTTAAAAGGGCTTTTGGGAGAGGGGCAGCCTGGTTTAGTTTCTTGTGGTGATGTGGAGACACACAAGGGAAAATGGTGCAGCCTGCAGAGATTAAACCATAAATTAGCACATGAAAGAATAAAAAAAGTCAGACAGAAAGGTACTGACAGATGTTTTATCAGAATTCTCTGGGAGGTGAAGGGGGAAAAGTACCGAACAATGAGGAGGAGTGAAAAGATACAACAAGCTTGATGAGAATGTGGTCAATTCTGAAGTTTGGAGAAAAGCCTGTGCTTCTCCTGCTCTCTCACTGTTTTTGGCCACTTAACCTGTGTGATTTATCTGTCTGAGTCAGAGACCAGGCCAAGTTCAGATGAAGCATCAAACATTAAAAGATCAGAGCCAACGGAGGCCGTCCAGGCATGGTTCATGTTCATGTTTATATCCTGCTCAGGAGGCAACAACATTACTTTGTCACAGACGTCCGTCCTTTGCACTTTCATGTTGTTCAGTGACAGAAAAGATCATCGAAGTTCACAAATTACAGCATTATTTACAAGTATTTAGGGACATGAAGCACCTAATTATTTAAAGATGACTGGGGCTGACATCTGATTGAAACGTACAACCAAATCATGGTGGTCAACTACACTGTGACTCAATTTAGCTTAATGAAGAAATAAATAAGTGATTAACTAAATGAAACTAGTTAAATGAAAAAGCTGAATACAAGCTTCTGCATATTTCAATGTTTACATCTGATACTATATTCTGTTCATAAAAACAGGAATTAACTATAAGGTCACTCGGAGAGCAAATGCCTTCCCCTGGGCTGATTTGCCACATCACATCACATAAACATGAATTGAGGTCAGATAAATATAGGCTAGTACTATGTACTCATAAATTTGGCCATCTTACATAGAATGGAGGCAAAATGTTGATTTTTTGATTAAGATTGAAAGTATTATTTGTTATTGTAACTTAATAAAGATCACAGCCCTAAAAGTATTTATTTTGATTCACAAAATCTGGATCATTATCAGTTCTGCACCAAATTCTGCATTATTTCTTGAGAAATTCACAAAAATACCAAAACAAATGACGGATCTCATAATGTCTCAGAAAGTGAAAAATCCTGAACCCTAAATTGAATCTGCACCAAAGGTGAACAGGTTCTTCCTTGGCCCATATCCCACACTTCCACCAAGTTTGAAAAATAAGGTTTAGTAGCTTTTGTGTAATCCTGCCAACAGACAGACAACCTGCAATAACACCAGGTAAAAAAACAGAAGTGCAACAAATGTTCATCGACAGTTGAGGGAACACACAAGAAAAAATAAAACATGAGTGAAAGATTTTTTTTAAAAAAGAGGGAGAGGAGGGAAAATTAGTTTTATGATCTGCAATATCCTGCCAGAAATTTTATTAGCCACTTAAGTGTGTAGCCCGCCGCTTCACAACAGGCTGTTAAATGGCTGTGACCTTGGACTGCTATTGTCCTCGAGTGTCCCCGAACATGCTGCCCTCCCCGACCTCAACACGTATGATCTTTCACCTCACCGACATGGGACAGATAAATTAACCCTTGGCCTAACTTCAGTCTTAACTGAGACACACATTGGAGTTTGTTTATCTACCATAAGAGTGTGAGTGTGAGGTCATCAAGCAGAATCATCAATTCACATGGTGCATGTAAACACATGTGGTTCTGGATAGGTTTATGGAAAGGAAAGTGTTACTGGATTGATTAATAACATCCTTGATTCAGCGGCGAGGAGAACTGAGGTGTGAGAAAGTACAAGAGAGGAAAGCATGCTGTGTTGTTTATAGGTGCACTTCTGCAGCTGACATACCCCTGAGGATGTAATTCTGGTAGTTCTGGTCGGCTTCAGCTCCCACTTTTATCAAACATGTCAGGCCCTCTTCCACCACAAACTCGTGCACCAGGTCCTTGTCATCCTGGGAAGAAGCAAGTAGGTTAAGAATGAAAGAGCCTGCAGAGAAAAAACAAACTGAAACGTGTTGTTTAATAGCTCACGCAACTCTTGACAATCTGTCTGATGATCTGTCTAGTATTTCCAGAAATCTTGTGTGTGTGTGGAACACAGAACCCGAGAACTGTTCGTCTTATCGGCTCCACACTTGTCATGAGTATTGTTGAGAGACAATTAAGTGCAGAGTCAAAATTTGGTCAAATGTGGACAAGTGATCTGATTAATGTTCAAAACTTTTAATAAACAGGCGCTATTCAATCCAAGTGATGTTGTCGATCATAACAACAGTGCGTTCACGACATCAACTGATTCTCGCACTTCACCGAACTTTGAATAAGCAGCTCTTTGTGCAGCAGCAGTGAAGCAGCTTCAGGGTTCTGCGTACTGAGTCCTGCAGTCGGTCTTTAGTTGCCGAGGCTAATTACTGCAGGTCACTTTTACAGTTTCAGAGAGAAAGCTTTAACCTGCATCACCACAGCCCATTCCAAACAGACATGTTTACTTTAAGAGTTGTGGTAAAGAAGTAAATCAACCCAAAAAAACTCCAGAATTGCTGTCGTGATTTTTACTTACACCAATGTTCACAGCTTATAAATATGACCAATTATTCATAAATTATATATAGATAACTAAAAACTGAAGTTTCTGTTTTTTAACTTAAACAATGCTACACAACATGTGTTACATTTTACCACAGTATTATTAAGGAGTCTAAAAGTGGTAATGTAGGGAACGTGCTTTCACACTTCTTTATGTGTTCTCTGGTTTGCCAGAGGGCTCGAGCACACTTCTCATTCCTCCCTCCTCAGCTGAATAAATCTAATCTAACTTAAACTTTTTACATTAACCAACAGCCACTGAAAGTGCATTGAGTGATGCGATCTGCCTGCAGCTTGTTCAGATGGATTCCTGTTGTTTTGGCTCTCCCCACTTCATCCCACATTTAGCCCTCAATGACAAAACCACCTGCATCTCTCACACCTGCCCATGACTTGGTAATTTAAGGCCAAGCAGGAGGCTTTCTACAGGTTTAAACATTTTCTGATATTCTACTGTTCAGATGGGAAACAGAGGAAGAGGAGCAATAAACACAGGGAGCTGGTCAGGGCTCCTTCTCTCCCAGGAGGATGTGTAAGTGCTTGCAGAAGAGCTTTACCGTAGATCTGTGATGGAGACTCCAGTCATTTGGCAAACGCTCTAAATATACAGGGGTGCAACTACAGAAATAGAATGAACAGCAGCTCTGAGACTCCTACATTTACAAGTCTGTGATGTATTGTAGAGAAATATTACTGAAATAAATCAAACCGAGTGGACATTTTATTAAAAAACAAGAATGATCAGTATTCTGTTAAACTGAAACCCTGCAGAGCCACATGTTAAAAGTGAGCCATTCTAATGTGTTCTGAATCTGTTGCTTTCTTTTTTATCCAACTGTCACTTAACCCTCCCCCTCTACAGTCGACTGCCCAACAGTTCAGCCCAGCCCACTGTGTGTGCGTGTGTGTGTGTGTGTGTGTGTGTGTGTGTGTGTGTGTGTGTGTGTGTGTGTGTGTGCCACGAAGGCAGACTCTGCCTCGGGAAAACAATACCATGTCCAAGTTTGAGTGAACGTAACATTTCGCCCTTTCACGTTAATGTGAACATGAACACTCAGTTCCCCTGGAAAAAGCATTGTTAGGTAAACTTCACAAGAACTGCTGCTGAGATTATGACAAAACACACTAGATCTTGTGAGCTGCTGTTTTAATGAGAACTAGGAGAGAGGAAATAAATACCTGAAAAATCTGCTTGAGTGAGAAGAGGGCTCTTCGTAGCTCCCGTCCAGTTGAGTTGTAGAGTTTTTCTGTGTGGAGAGAGAAAAGGAGAGAATGGAGAGATGAGTTGACAAGTCACACATCTTTCTGTGATACTGTCACACAAAAAGAAAATAACACTAATCCTGGAGGAGGTTTAGGATGACTGTAACTTTTCTTGAAAAATAAGTGCATAGCTGCTAGTGTTTTAATGGATCATTCACACATTTCTCCTTAAAAATCACTTGGTGATCTGCATCATTGGCTGCAATTATCCCGACTAGCTGAATCAGAAAAAATATCCTAAAAGAGGAACAGTGAAAGGGAAAGAACAGTAGGAGAAACTCAGAGCACATCTGTAGAGAATTAGCAAACAGAGGATGTTTTCTGCTGACAAAGTCATATCTGCAGTTTACCATCATCCAAAGTCATTGAGGAAACTTCAAGCCAATAGCCACCACAACGGCTGTGATACACAATACACCCATTAGTGAGCTATGGCAGCTCCAAAGAGAAATATAGGAGGGGACGAGGCTGATGACAGATGCTTGTGATGGAGGCAAACATTTCCTGCAACTGCCTGACAATCCTATGCCCTATGTGCAGGCGCTAGAGTCTGCCAGGGAGGGGCAGCATTGAGCACAATCTCAGTAGCTCGCTGACACTCTCTCTCTCTGACTCAGCAAAACCTACTGCTGCAGATACAGCAACATACAGCAACACTCCAGTCCAATGCAGAGGAGTGTTACAGTTCAGTACAGCCACTCTCTGTGTTACGCTGTTATACATGCCTGCTTTTTATTTAGATGGTAAATTGTTTTTATTGTATTTGACAGATACTTTATTGCTTGAAGAACACAATGAAACAGTTTGTTTCTCTGAACATTTCTTTTTATTCCCTCACTTTCAAATTACTATGTTTAGCGTGCATCTGCCTGCCTACATACCTTCCTATCCACCTACATACCTACCTACCTACCTACCTTCCTATCCACCTACATACCTACCTACCAACTTACCTACCTACCTTCCTACCTACCTAGGTCAACCGACCTACCTACCCAACCGCCTGTCTATCCACCCACCCACCCACCTACCTATTTATCTATGAAGCAGATGCTACTGACTTGTGGGCATTTAAAATAAAACTAAATTGTTGAGATTAATGTTGATTAGGTAATCAATTAATCAGGATATTAGGCCTTTCTTTCTTTCTTTCCCTCCATATCGCTACATTAAGACATGACTAGCATGTCGCTATGTGTTGCAGCCTTGCAGATGTTACAATCCTATCCAGATGGGCAGGGAAATGATTTATCACTGTTGGTGCATGAGTGTGGATGAGTTACAACTTTTACACCCAAACATGCAATTGAAAGAAACCAACAGGCAGCTAAACAGAGGTGCATATTGCCTTGAGTACACCCTTCATGCACACAAGAGCACACAGTTGTACCGATGAGCTCCTTGTCTTTACAAACAGCTGCTGCTACTTCTATTCAGAAGTGTGAGAAACACACACTGATGTGTGCGTTCGCTTGGGATTCAGAGCAACAAGCCTCTATTCATTATTGTTGTTGGCCTCCTCCTCCTCAGCCAAAGAGTAAATCCCCTCAGCTGATGAACTGAGAGATGGATGGAGAGAGGGAGAGAAACAAGGAGTGTGTTGGCAGTTCTGTGGACACGCACAGGCTACTTCTAGACACCGGAACAGGGTGACACACAACATATTCACAACACACTTCAAACTTCACACATACTGACAGCTGGTATATGTGGGTCCAGTGAGACAACAATCATTCTGCTTTGTAAAATGTTTTTTATTTTTTGAAAGCACAGAATCTAAGTGTGAAAGGACGAGAGAGTGAGACAGCAGAGGGTCCATTACAGAATGAACCTGCGGCCAACAGACTCAAGCTTCACTACGTAAAAATAAAAATAAAAAATCTTCATGAAAAGACAAATCTTTTTCACAGAAAACAGCTCAACAAGCTTGACATAAGGTTGTGTTTTCATGGTGTTAAACAAACATTATGTAACTTCTGCCACTAGGGGTCTCTCGATCAAAACAATAACAAAAGACCCCTGAATAAAAGAAAAGACCCACTCATGGGGGTTGTTGTCTTCAGCACCCTTTCTTGTACCATAGTCTTCTTGGGTCGCTGGGTTTCACTGTGTGTTTGTGCTTTACTGGGACAGAACACGCAGTTCGCAAGCGGCAGTGAATAATCATGATCTATTGCGAGTGGCCAATACAAACAGTGGAAAGAAAAAACAGCCGACTGGCTAACTGGCTAGGATCGTTCGATGCTGATATAAATGCAGGTTAAAGTCAACAATATAAATTAATTTAGACATATTTATGAAGAATTGTTAAATAATATTCTTTAAATATGAGTCAAACTTGGGGTTAAATTTTCCCAGGACGTGTTATTGCAGGGAAAGGACATCCACCGCAGTGTCACACTACACATTCATATTATTGGTGTAATCCATTCTGCCAAAGACATACAAGACACTGGAGATGCATCTGTGTCACACACAGCTTGGGACTGAGCCATATGTGGTTAACTGGCTCAGATTTGATGTTGCCTGCTGAAATCAAACACCTCGCAATCCAGTTACAACAGAGTCCCTTATCTATAGGAGATGTCTCGTTTCTAATTTATGACTCTGGTGGTATTTGGTATGAGTGAAGCTCAGCTTTATATGTTTCGTGCACTCCGCGCCGTACATGGTTCAGACACATGTTGAGTAGATGAGTGTTGGTCTTTTATGGAAGAGTACTGGTAAGTCACTGGCACCCACATCCTCAAGGAGTAAATCTCAACAAGTCCAGAGGTATTAGGAGGGGAAGCAGCACGATATTGGTGATTTATGCGTTTATAAATAACAGGAAGGAGCTGTGACTGGGACTCCAGTTTGGCCCCCCCACTGTGGAACTCCCAGCTTGAGCAAATCGAGGTTGCCAAAGTCGGCTTCTCAAAACAGACACATTTTTGAAGATAGTTGTATTTTATTTATTCTTTTATAAACTTCTGATTATATTAATCATCATAGCTGTGTGTGATAAAGCACTTTGTAAATGATCTACTGATAAAAAGCATATATAACTTATTAATCATCAGTACATTCAGTTTCTTGGATGGAAAATGTAGAAAACAAAATAATGTTTTGTCATTTTTTATGTATCTAAAATAAATTCCTTGGACATGTTTATATATCGTTTAACATTTTAATTTGAGGTCTATGCAGCTGACAGGTACTGAAACCAATTTCCACGATTCTGGCTTGGACAAAGTAACAGCTCAGTCACCAAGAAACTAAAGCTTTTTAATACTGGACCCTCTTCTATGGTCGCACGGCTCTGTGGTCAGGAAGAAGACTCAGACATTAGGTTAGAGATCTCCAAACAGACAATCTCTCAGATCACTGGAGCGGAAAGACAGATGGGAGATACTCTGTGTTACTCATCACACCTTCACCATAAAAACCAAACTTGATTTGTGCTGCAACTTCAACACAGGTCTTGAATCAGTGTTCACTTTTTCCTGTAAACTGAGTTTCCTCACGGACACTAGATGTTTATCAGGCAACAGATAAATTACACTCAGCAGTGCTCAGTGATAGTTCTGTGTCATTCACAGCAGAGCAGCACAACAACAATGCATCTTGGATTTAAATATAAAGATGGATGGACGACATTCCTCTCGCTTTCCATAAATATAGCAATTAAATATTACATTTCCGAATATGAATACTTCCATCTTGCTTTACGTTTGGGAGCCATCATATTGTCCATCATTACAGTCTATGGTGCAGGTATGTGTTAATCAGCAACAACATTGCAGAGAAACTCCTCCACGAAGACTCAGTTCTACTGCCATTCTCAAAGAGCTTGAGTTCCTCTGCTTAGCTTTGTAGTAAGCAAAAAACTGTCAGAAAGTTATTCCTCTAAATGAAGCCCATCTGCTGGAACACAAAGTTCCTTCCCTCTCCCTGTACGTGGTCCACACTCCACTGCACCTCCCTCTAATGAGAAATATCTCAGTGGAGATTAGTTCCATACCATTTGGCACAGATATGCACCCAAAAAGTCGGTCTTTTTCATTTCCCTATTTAGGAAAAGATCCCAGGCACTTATTTATTGAGAGGAAATGCTTGTGAACCCCAACTCTCAAAATCACATTCACCTGAAACCCTAAAAGCCACCTGAAACTTCAAACCCAATAGCTCACTACATTTGTCATGGATTCGTTGTTGGGCCAAAGCAAACGTAGGACTAGAAGAACAAAGGAAGGTAGGATGGATAAAGTTGAGGCACCGCAAAACATGATCCAGCTAAAGTAACAATACCAACAGTTTGCAGCAGCTAAGTTAATTCAATATACTCTGTAAATGTCGATTGAGACGTCAAATCATGTTGTCAGTCACTCCTCTTACCACAAAAGAACGCAGGAGTGCAACTAAGGACAAGCAGCACATTTTTTACCTGACAGTGGAATGACTCAACAGAGTGAAAGTGTTTCTTTGATGGCTTGTATTGATGTGCCACAGAGAGCAGCTGTTTTCTCCTCTTAAAATTGCAATACACTGTCACGTTTTCTCAGCTGGAACAGCTACAGGGATGTAATGCTCTCATAATTATAACAATCATAAAAGTACTCATGGAATTTCTATAATCATCAGGAATGTGCTCTAATGCCCGGAGAGTGAAGAAAAACCTGCTGTGGGGGCCTGAAAACATTCAGACGTGACAGTTGTGCGACTGCTACGAAGACAACTTTTAAAAGCAAATGTGTTTTGTGCTGCTTCAGACACCTTCTTATTGTCAATGTCAGTGCTAGCACATTCCGGTAATGCTGGCCTGTTCGAGTCATGGGTGGCTTTTTGTTTATCTCCACATGCCGATCTCAACCTGAGACCAGTCCCTGCCACTCAATGCTGGACAGCTAACAAAATTGGTTTCCAGCATTAACCTTGCTCATTTTCCGCATACAAATATATCCGTGATGCTCGGTTGCTCTTCTGTTTCCATTATTTCCAGAAA